ATGTAAACAAACTACCACCAAATAAAACGTGGACCGGCTTTTCTCCATCCAGCAACAAAACTCGTTGTATGTATATATGTATGTATGTATATACATACATACTTTTGTATCACGAGCACACGAGTGGGGAGAGCTAGTTGCCGATGTACTCATACCGTGTTTTGGCTACATGTGAGGCGAGTTGGTGCACACCCCAAACAACAACACTTCACAGCCACTACAAGCCATCAACAGCGATTGCAGCGCCACCAGCCAGGCAGGCATACGGGCAAACAACAGTCGAGCAGTCGGCGGAGGTAATCAGCTTTCAGCTGTGCGGCGATTCTATTCAAAGAGGTCACCTTGAAGTTGTGAATTTTTACAGAGTAAATTTTATTGTAGTACGCACAGGCAGTTTTTCGCCGCTGTGCCAGCCAATAAGCCAACACAAGAAGTCAGTTAAGTCACAAATTTTTTTGGGTAAAGTAATCGTTCCGCTTGCATACATTTGTATTTTAAAACAAAAATATGTACATATATACATAAATTTTTTTACTAAACATGCAGTACTTGGTTGAATGAGTGCATTGCATAAACAATTTAGTTTAGTTGTGAAGAAAAAAGCCCGTGGAGAAATAAAAAAATTTTTATAAAAATATTTTAAAAGAGAAAGAGAAGTGTGTGGGCATACATATAGTGGATTTCGAAATCGCAAAAGGAAGTTTGCGAACTGTGTGAAATGTTGCGAAATATACATACATACATATGTCTGTGCGTCTCGCCAGAAAAGTGCAGTGACATTTGCTACTGAATTAAAAGTATTTTCTATTTATATACATATGTATGTATGTACATATAACTAAAATAATACAAAAAAAAAATTTACTAAATAAATACGCGGTACGTTTAAAGTGCTGTTTTGGCGCTCCTTATGCTTTTCGTTAACATCGTGCAACCGAATTGAATATACGCATATACACGCACGTACATATGTAAATACATATTTTTGACCAAATGAACTTATTTTTTTTTAAATACTACTGGAAAAAAAAACCAACAAAACCCAAAAGAAAACAAAGTGAAAATTATTTAATCAAATCGCCACAAGCGCTGATAAGCTGGGCATTGGAGGCAGTCGGAAATCAAGTTTAATCGCGTTAAGCGCAATAAATTCTAAAATTTGTAAACAAAATTAGGCCAACACTTTCTAATCGGCAAGGAATTTTATTTATATAAATGCGAAAGAATTTTTCGATAGCGTTCAACGCGTAGTCAAGTGATCAAAGCTACAAACTATGCAGTTCATTCGCTTTTGAGTTAATTTTTGAAACTTTTAATTTTTTTTGTTCATTATTTCTTGATATAACGGTTGCATGATAAAACAAAAATTTAATTCTAGCGATATTTTAGCTATTTCAAACTTGCACTTTATTATACTAAAAATGTATTAAGCCATAAAACTACATATTAAAAAAATTTCAACAAAGTCCAATGAAAAAACTTGGAATTTAAGTGAAATTGTGTGGAAGTTTTTTTCTAATTTTTGTAGAAAGTTTGAAATTTGGATATATGTATGTATAAGATTTCTGTAAGATAATAAAGCTATTCTTATATAAAAAAAAATTAATGAACATCAAAAAAAAAAAATAAATAAGTTTATAGTAAAAAAACATATTTTAAAAACAAGCTTTCTGAGCACAAACACACGGAGCACAAACACTGGTTTACCAAATATCTCGACTCCTGCGTCAGCTATCGGATTACATAATTCATCTTTCGTATTGCACGTCTCTAGATTTCCCAATTGTTGTTGGTCGAAAATTTACTGCAAGATTTGGCCCTAACAAACATACTTACATACATATTTATATATACATATAGACCAAGTCAAAAAAAAGCTTGTAAAATAGTCAAAAACTGATCACAATGTCGAGGTACTATCTTTTGTCGTGAGCTGTATGTATGTAATATGGTTGGATATGTACATGTGTATATGTATAGCATTGGTAATTAGTCACAAAGTCTTGAACCGGGGTACCGGCAAGTGCTTGGAAATCGCCCATTTTTACAAAAGGCAATGAACACTAAGCAAACACACCTTCTGGTGGGTCAACGTACATGCATATGTATGTACAAACAATGTACTCTCGGCATACTCACTGCCCTCTAAAATATTTGCTATGGGCGCGCTGTGAGCGACGCTTCCGAAAGAAAGTGAAAGTGCTGAACTTTTTTGATTACAAACGTATGCAGGCATACATACATACATACATACATATACATATGTATAGTACATATACGCATGCATGTTGTTGATGACACCGATATCTACTATATGTACATATATACAAATGCACATATACCTGCATTTTGTATACTCTCAAATGTTTGGTGAGCTTTGCTTCGGAGAGGATAGTTCTATGACGTCAGTTTTAATTCTCAAGTTCAATGGAAAGGTCAATGGTTAATGGTGCATTGGCAATTCCTTTCGGGTGTATAGGGTAGTTGTTGCAATACTTGGTACGTTTTTTGAAATTATCTCACTGTTTTTTTTTTTTAATTTAACATTTTTCAAACAACCCTGCAAACCAAAGTTCCCGAAATCTTAAGGAAATCGTTAGGAGTATCTCATTTCTGTAACGATTTTTTTTGACGAATTTTCAAAGAAAATTATATGAAGTGGTTGACACGAACTCGTAAAGAAATTTCTGTACGAAAAATAAAGAAAATTCTGGAAAAATTCTGAAAGATATTCTTCACATAGCAGCATTATTTTCGTTGCTTCACAGATTTTCCTCCGAAATTTCGTAAAAGAATGGAAGTGTGCGTAATTTATTTCATTTTAGAAAATTCGGCAAAAAATCGAATTAAATCTTAACGAATTCTTTAAAATTTCTTTGCAATGCAGAATACTCTGAAAAAATGGTTTGCAGGGTACGCACACTTCCATTCTTTTACGAAATTTCGGAAGAAAATCTGTGAAGCAATGAAAATAATGGTGCTATGTGAAGAATATCTTTCAGAATTTTTACAGAATTTTCACTATTTTTCGTACAGAAATCTCTTTACGAGTTCGTGTGTTTGTAAATTGCAAATGCAAATGTAAATAAAAGAGTATTTGCACAAGATCCCGAACAGCCCTATTATCTTCTCACCCTGTCGGAAAAATTAACCAACTACAAAAAACTCACCAATATCTTCACACGCCATCAATGAATAGGTAGCCTAGGATTTGAGAACTGTACCTCTCAACAAGTACCGTCCTAAATCTTCATCAACTTGACATTGTAGAAATCTCTTACCTGCTAATGCGACACTAACAAAAATGTATGTATTTCGACTCTGTATTATCTGTTGTTCTACGAAGTTGAATAGTTAGTGGTGCACATCAGCAACCGGTTGTAGACAGCTTCGATTCATGGCTAAGGGAGTATCTAGAAATGGTTTCCCTAAACGCGTTTGTCTTCTACAGACAATGGCAAACCTCCGAGCGTGCTACTGTCATGCAAAAGCTTATCGCAGGAAACTCATCTGTCTCTCGGAGCTGGCTTAGAACTTACGTTGTTTTCGCGGTTAGGTACATATGTGTGTACATATCGTCGTTTAAAGTACAAAACAACGTATCGTCGTGGTTCTGCAAACCTTCGTAACTGACATTTGTGCCAAAAAAGATATTTGCCCACCGGAAGCTCCCGACATCAAGCCTTTCGATTTTCCAAAATGGGGCGTCAAACTAAAAGCCTTGGATTCTAGATGTGCAGTAACGTTTTACTTTTTTCAAATTATTTAAAATAATAAATCAATTATTATAAACTGGATATCAATCGAAATGGTTTTGAAGAGCTTTGTTTCTTAGCTGAACTAGAGGAGTGTTGCCACCTGTTTAAAAAGCTAAATTCAAATTATTTTATAAGTTAAATGAAATATTAAAATATGGGTATCAATCAAAGGGGCTTGAAAAATTGTTATTTCTGAACTGTATTTAGCGGGGTTGCCACATTTTTGAAAACTAAAATTCGACTTAATTCATCAGTTAGTTAAAGTATGTACCGCATTGTCCAGCGAAGGAGAGTTAACAGTGATCAAGCTTGAAAATACTTTTGAAGAAGGCTGCCACCTGTTTGAAAGGGCTAACTCAATTAACTAATTCAATAAGTATATGAAATATAAAAATACCGTAGGCAAGCAAAATAATGTTATGGAATCTTTAGTTTGAACATTTCAAATGTTTGAAGAGAGTTGCCACGTGTTTAAAAAGTTACATTCAAATTATTTAGTAATTTGGATGAATTATTAAAAGATGGGTATAAATCGAAATGGGTTTGAAAGGGATTTATTCCTGACCTTTATTTAGGAGGGTTGCCATCGGGTTGTTCGTACAATCAAATTCGAATTAGTTCATCAGTTTATTAAAATACATGTATATCACAATGTCAGACGAAAGAGATTTAAGAAGATTTTATTTTGAGAATACTTTTGAAAAGGAATTTAAAAAATGAGAGGTCAAACCAGAGGCCTTAGCCCTGTAGATGTATGATAAAGTTTTAGTTTTTTATTTAAGAACTTTTTTCATCGGTATAGGGTGATTTGAAATTCGGTAAAAATAAAAACTGTACTATGCGAGACTGCTCTTCACTCAGAAACGGCTGCACGGGGTCGATGAAATATGGCACTCGAATCTCTTATAACTCTGACTAACATTTGGAATATTTTTTTAAGTTTTAGAAATTTAATTTTGGGCGTTTTAACGCCATGTGGGCTCACTAGTGTATGTAAATAAGCATTCTCACACATTAAAAAATTATAAATAAATGAATAAATCGTTTTCATCGCTTTGGTAATCCATAGCACTTGCTATCGATCCTACCCTGTATATGAACCCGTGTACATATATATTCTACATAGTATTTTAACCAGCGAAAAATTTAAATTTCGACAAACTCATTTAGTTAGTAAGCACATCAACAACACAGAGTCACAACGAACGCACGAAATTCCGCAAAAATCTAATAGATTCCAGAGATTAAGGTGTTCATAAGCAAAGTGCAGAGAAAGCAAGCATGGAAGGCTTTCGACGCTTTTTCGTAGACCTTGGACGTCAGCTAAGCGCGCTGTATCAGGCAATGTTGAATTTGCAATTTATACACTGGATCGTCGATTTCTACTTGAAATTAACTACTGATCGTGGTATTGACGTTGGCGATGACGCGGGCGTAGACGCCAACGTCAACAATGTCGTGAACAATAATAACAATAGACAACGTATCATTTGGGCCTGCGGTGCTAGTAAGAACGCAGCAGAAGAGTTGTCAGGCTCAGCGACCGAATCGGATAATGGCGGCGGCAGTGAAAATAGTGCTAGTGAGAGTGAGGGGAGCCAAAGTGCTGCCGAAGCTGTGACGGTGGCGCCTGGCGCCGACACGAAGCGCCAACGAATTGCAGCCCCCGATCAAAACAATTGCGGCCATGAACAACAATCGCCCGCCATACCGGTGACAGAAACAGTTGCGGACGTCGGTCTTGCGGGTGTGTTGAACGCAGCAAATCCAAGTGCAAAAATGGGAAATGTTCATATTACTAATAAAAACAAACATAAAGCGAACAAAACTAGTGCCAGTGGTGAGGTAAATATATGTTGAGAAGAAATACATAAATAGAATAAATAAAATATTTGGGAAAAATGGTATGGGCTTTTTTTTTGTGAACAATGTACAGTGCGCGTCTGTCTATAAACGATCGTAGTCAAAATAAGTGTTGGATTAGAAGTGCATATTTATATGTATGTATGTGTATATGTATATGTAGTTTTTGTTTGGTGGTGTTGATTGGGTGGAGGCGGCTTCTGTCCTATCAGCAATTCGTGTTTGAGCTTTAATGTTGCATTTAACCGAAACCGTTTCATCGCTTTTTTATATGCATATATATATATATGCATTCTATTTACTGATAAGATAATGTGCAAAATTATGAAATGTAAAGGGATGTTGATTTAATGTGTTACTAAATGTCAGCAGTGTGTTTTGAAAGTGGCATAAGTCATTTCCTACCTCTGGTGGCTAAATGGTTGGTTACTTCTAACTGAATGCAGCTGTAAATGGTTCTACGTCATAAACTAATGGCACTAAACTATTTGCGTTTGGCTGATGAAGTTGAATGAATAACCGACGCATTCAGATGCAGGTAAATGAGCACTGAAATCAAACGGCATGAAATGACTTATGACACTTTCAAACTAAAAGGCTAAAAATATTCAATAACAAATGTGCATGCAGTTAAAAAAAAACAAAATTTATATTCGTCTATGATCAGTAAGTTGCTGGCATCGAAACAAGTTAAGACCTCCTCGCAGAGCAAAAAAATGAAAAAATGGAAAATGAACCTTTTTATGACAAAATCTCATATCTCGAGAACGAGAACGAGAACAGCAAGCAAAATAAAGTTAGATAACAATGTGGATGTTCACACCTGTCTGGTTATGTGGTTATTTTTTTTTTTTTTATCCAGTATGAGTATTTTGAAGCTTTTGAGATAAGGAATTCAGGCAAAATAGTTTCATTGGATAAAAAATTTCCTCGACCTTCAAAAACAGAGGGTTTTCTATTTTTTTCCTCTTTCGCCAGTAAAGAGTCGATGTTTTTTAAGTTTTAAACAAGTACATTTATTGTTCTTGCGTCAAGGAATCCATATCCTTGGTCGGAACAAACGTAAAACAATTTGGAGTTTTTTTTTAACAAGTTCATTACATGCTGTTTTTTTTTTTTTTTTTTGCTTAAAACGATGTTGGCACTTGTAATTAGACGAAGGGCATCATGATAATGAAAAGTGAATTTTTGATTTTTTGGTAGTTACGGCCTTTTGTAATTCAGGTGACAACCCGTAATCCATGGATTTTTGCATTTTAGGTGGCTATATACAAATCTAAAGCTTTTTAAAAATTTAATTGGATACTCTTTTCAGTTCAAATAAGGAAAACAATTAAAAATCCTGGTTTTGAAGGTTATTTTAAGGTCAACGAAACTAGTTTTCCTAAACTCTCCATCGCAAAAGCATTAAAATACTATTAAATTTATTCCGCTAGCTGTTCGCTGTCGTCCTCGAGATCTTAGATTTTGTTACAAAAAAAGTTTATTTTCCACACTGTGCGGCGGCTAGCGCCAACCACAGCCAAAAGTGGCGCCTAAGTCAATAATAATCTTGCTCTACGAGTAATGTGTGTTTGTATGTAATTAACTGAGTGCATAACTTAACCGCAAATATGTAATCAGCGCGTCAATTCCAAGTAGTTTGTAGCTGTGCCGCCGCCATCTGGAACATAGCAAAAGATGATCGATTTCAAAATCATTCCCTTATTTCATGTGACATTGAAATTTGCCCCAAATGCTCTTGAGACCAGCTCTGTGTGTGTCGATTTAATGATTTCTGCTCAATTAAAAGCAAAACAAAAAACATAATTGGATAAATTGCGTAAAGCTATTTGCGTATAGTATATGTACTATATATATATATATATATATATGTGCATACAACAACGACGATAGTTATCATTCGTACAGCAATAATGAAACATTAGAACAATTGCCTCAATTGCACACTTCGATCGAGGACCACATTAAAATGTTATTCATTCTGTCAATTCACCATCCGCCCTGCACAATTTTACCCAATCTTTTTTATTTTGAAATCAAAAAAATATATTTAGAGGTCGCTCAAAGCGCTCAAAGTTTTCCATGTATCTTATATGAAAAAAAAAACAAAAACAATTTTTCTTAGAAATTGTATAGCATTCTTGAAAATGTAAAATACTGTAAATATTTTTTGATTTTGAAATAAAAAACAGGGTATATTTTTTCAATATAGGTCCACCCTAATGTTATGAGTAATCCTGTACGCAAGACATCCCGACTTTAACTACATATTCGTTGGGTTCCGATAACTTCGTTTAGAAACCTTTAAAACTGTCAATTAACAAAAGTACTCTCTTGAAAGAGAGGAGCGAGAGCGAAACAGTAAAAGTCACCTGGAACGCGAAAAACCACTTTTCCTGTAACTACTTCCATCTTTTAACACATAAAAGATTCTTTGCTTTCTCTGCGTTCTGGTTTTGTTTACAAATGCAGCCCTGCCTATCGTTTAACAACTTTTCATGAACTTGCAGGAAGAAAAACTTCGGACTAAAACATGCAACTTCTTACTGAGCGAGAGTGCAAGATACTCTCACAACAGAGCTTTCACTTATAGGTTTTTGGCACCTGGAACGCTTTCCTGTAAAACAAAAAAAAAAACTGCAAATCGTGAATATCGTGAGCATCTGCTTAAGTGACGAGTTCGATCGGGTTTATTTGACAACTGAGGTGATTAGGAAAGCTGCAATACTTCCCCTAAGTATTCGTACATACAGTGGTAAAAAAAATTATAGCCCCGCCATATATTGACAAGTTTTAGCAATTTATCATTTTTGTTATTTTTTATAAAAACAAGAATAGCAAGATTTTAGTTAAAAAAAAATTAACAAACTTTCGCTAAAATTTCGAGCTTTTTAATTTGATTTCTTAGAATAATGAGTTCTAGTAGAATAATGTATAACTTTAAAATGGCTAAAAATTACCGTTAATTTTTTAGCTTTTTTTTGTCCCATTTGCTTCCATATAACGAATAAACACAATTTATTTTTATATGGAAGAAAACCTGAACATCTGCGACAAATAAATTTTAAAAAATCAACGGTAATTTTTAGCCATTTGTATTCCACTAGAATTCAGTGAGCTGCAAAATCTTTCTAAGAAATCTAAAGTTTGTTGAATATTTTTTTTTTTTTTGTAATATTGCACAAAGTTTGAAACTTGGTTTTACACGGGTTTTATTAAAGAATGAACTATATTTTTATAAAAAAAAAAATAACTAAAACTTGCTATAATATTTTAAAACTTGTCCATATGTGGTGCGGCTATAATTTTTTCGACCACTGAATGTGTATAGGATAGATATAATGGCTGTACTGTACACTTGCGGTCAGCTGATTAAGTTAACATTTTGATCATTTTTGGCTATTTTTCTTTTGTTTATTTAATGTTTATAATTTTTTGATAAAATTCTAGCATATTACATAACCTGCACCACATACATAAATCCACATTTCAAACATCGTACAAAAATAATAAAATGTCAACAAACTTGAACAATTACGCCCAAAAATTTTAAACTTTTTATTCAGAATTTCTAGAAAAATTCTAGGTATGCAGTTTTATTGCCCATTAAATTCCGGCAAGACAGACGCTAGAAAATCGCGTCAAAACACCGTCAGCTAAAAACAAATACTAAAAAAATCAACGCGATTTTCTACTAAATTCAATAGGCTATAAAACTACATACCTAAAATTGGTCTAAATTTTCTGAATAAAAAGTTTAAAATTTTTGGCTGCAATTGTTAAATTTTGTTGAATTTTTTAAATTTTTTTACTGAAATGTGGATTTACGGGTCAAAATGTCACTTAGCTTAAACAGCTGACCAAAAGGGTAACTAATGCTAAAAATCGCTATTATGATTTTTTTTCAGCTATGTACATACATATAAATATTGATCATTATTTGGAAGATTTTCACTTTTACTCAGGCCAATTGATAAATACTGGGCCATTATAAAAATCAAATTGCTGGCAATGAAGTAAGTTACGAAAAACGAAGTAAAAGAATAACAAACAAAAATGGGTGAAGGTGTATTTTGAGTTTACATGAAACGATGAGATATTTAGAATATAAAACAAAAGAATTAGCTGGGTTCAAATTACGCTGTGCAAGTTGTAAATTTTGAGCAAAGATTTTGAAAGTTGAACTCACTTAATTGGGACGTTCTAAAATCAATGGCATCCCCCGTTTTAACAGATTTGCGCCGGTTTTCGAGATAACGGTACTTAAGTTTTAACTGTTTTATAAATAACTCCCTCAGCTTTGAAGTTATTGAACAATCAGTTGTATGGGAGCTAGATGTTATAGTTAACCGATTTCGATGATTTTAAGAGTTATTGAATGTAATATTAAAAGACAGCCGTGTGCAAAATTTTAGTCAAATACCTTCAAAACTGAGGGAGTTTTTTTTTATAAAATAATTAAAATTTAAGCAAAGTTTCAAGTACCGCTATCTGGACAAGTGAAGCCAATCGGGCAAAACTGGGGACGCCATTGAATTTAGAAGGCTTCAATTAAGTAAGAGCAACTATCAGAACCTTTGTCGAAAAAAATTTGATTTGATACCACCCTCGAAATATTCTGACTGCAAGAAGGAGCATCATTAAAAGTAATAAATCAGGGCTCGAATCGCAACATGCGTTCACGGATCGAAAACGATACGAAAGAAAATTACGTAATACGTCAGGCAGTATAAGCTTAATGGGACAGAGAGTACGTTTTTACGTGACGAGTAGTACGATATCGTACGTGACGATTCGAGCCCAGGATTTTTACACTTCTAGTGAAAATTTTTTTAAGCATTTTACAGGTACATATTTGTAATGTTATAAGGTCTAAGTAGTAGTTATAAAAAGATTTAGATCCTTTTGACGTCTTTTTTACATTTACCCATATACCCTTTAAAACACCATTTATAAAATTGTTCTAATACCCTGAAATTCTCGACTTATGCAAAAAACTTTTTTTAGAGCGAATTGTAATTGTGCAAAAAAAAAAAATCGTGTGCCAATAAACAGGGAGGGCTAATGAGCGGGGGTTCCTATATTGAATTTCTGTGAAATCGGATTGAAAATTTACAATTGCACTAATTCCAGTGCTACTATGCTCGGGGTGCTTATGGTCGACTAAAGTTATTCTCAACGTCAACTTCTCCATAGGCGTATATGTACATCAAGTTTCCATAGGGCGTCGTCTCCTCGTCGGCTCTAAAGTCGACTAAAGGTGGTGGCTTTAATTACATTCATTAAAATTGCTTGATTTTTGTGGGGATATGCATATTATTCATGTTGTGTTCTGTTAACCGTAAACTAATGTGTGTGGTGTAAATAACTTTTCGTCCTTTAGTGAAGACATATTTGTATTTGTATGTATCGCTGGTGTTCTAATCTCGCTTGGAATTTCGTAAAAGAACTCTTCATCCATCATATATTGCAGTTAATTCGTCATTTTATGCCCTCTTCTTCTAATACCATTTGAATATTTATTGCTAAAGTTCTTCTACCGCCGTTTATTTTAGGGATCTAATTCAAAAAATTCCCCAACCACCTCACACGAGAGTCATTGCCAGGACAACAGCATAAAGCTTTCCGAACACGAAGACGAAGCTGTCGTAGAGAATTCCAAACCCGATATAATAATATCCAGCTGGGAGGGAGACATTTGCGCTGCAACAAAAAACCACAGCGCACAGCAAGAAGCACAAAATTGCACACAGGATTCTAATTCAGAGCTGATAAGTTTAAGCTCAACACAGACTGCCGAAATTCAATCCAATTCGGAAGCAGAAGCAGAGCAAAAATCCAATTTCACACAAATCTCTTCGGAACATTTGAACTTGAATGAGCAATTTCCTTTGGAACTAACTTTGGAGCCCGAAGCAGAAATCGAGGAAAAGACAACCATAAAAATCTTACAAAAGCTCAATTCAGAAACCGTCGAGGCCGAGGAACCGAAAGCCCTTGAAATGACAAAAACATCTGACATACATAGCGTACCCATCGCTGAGGGTACGAATGCCGAGCATATCCTCTACAGAATTAAACGGGGCACCACGTTAAGGGTGCATGGGGACGCCTCTCTTTTGGGGCGTGAAATTATTTTATACACCAACTACCCGGCTGAGGGTAAGATATTAGTTAGTTAGTTATCAGATGATTTTTCTTAAAGATACGTTAGCACCTTAGTTTTTGTAATTTTTATTTGAAGGTAAAAAGTTTGTTCGCACCGAATATCGTATTCTGGACTGGCACTCGCGTAGCGGAAAGCCATTCACCACCAACTTGAATAAATATGCTCATATTGTGGATACCGACATATTCAGCCAGGTTAAAGTGGAGCTCTCGGGCACCTTCCGATTCTGGTTTCAGTTCAAGGAGAGGTAATTAAAATATGTGCATACCTAATTTCAGAATTGCATTTCCGGCGTTACTTTCACTGCATTAGACGTAACCATTTGCCTTTTACATTTACAGCACTCGTCCTGAACCCGACGGCGCGCTTTACGTACAAGTTGAGCCCACCCTTCAAGTCGGACCGCCCGGCGCTCAAAAGATAATTCCGCTGAACTCGGTGCGCTGCCAAACGGTTCTGACCAAGTTATTGGGTCCCATCAACACCTGGGAGTCGAAGTTACGCGTTGCCAAGGAATCTGGCTACAATGTCATACACTTCACGCCCATCCAGGAGCTGGGTGGCTCACGTTCGGCCTACTCACTGCGCGATCAATTGAAAGTCAACCCGCACTTTGTTGCGAAAAAAGGTGGCACCGTCGGTTTCGATGACGTGGAGAAGGTGATCAAGAAGTGTCGTCAAGAGTGGGGCGTAAGTTTTGAGATTGAGAACTAATTTGGCATAGCGAAGTGTTTACATTCTACTCTTTCCGTCGTAGATTGCCTCTATTTGTGACATTGTGCTTAATCACACTGCCAACGAATCGGATTGGGTTCGCGAGCATCCCGATGTCACTTACTCATGCGCTACCAGTTCTTACCTGCGTCCCGCCTTTTTGTTCGACGCTTTGCTTGCCAAGTGTGGTGACGATATAGCGGCCGGTAATTTGGAACACGTGGGCGTACCAGCAGTGATTGACCGCGAGGATCACCTACAGGCACTCAAGTACCAGTTGCATCATGTTTACTTGCCTAAAGTAAATATCCACGAGCTCTTCCAATGCAATGTGGTCAAATACGTGGAGGAATTCATGACTCTAGTGCGCACACGTTCGCCCCCCAAACATGTTGCCGATGAATCACGCTTCAATGAGATACAACTGATTACAGACCCACAGTACCGTCGTTTAGGCGCAACCATTGACTTGAATTTGGCGTTGGATATTTTCAATGCCTTCCATGGGGATTGCTTCGATGAAGAGTCCCGTTTCCGTAAATGCGCTGAAACCCTGCGTCACCGCTTGGAGACGCTCAACGAGGAAGTGCGCGCTGAGATACAAGGCTACCTCGGGTATGCCATCGAAAACTGTTTGGCCGGCGTGCGGTATGAGCGCGTGCAGGAGGATGGCCCTTTGGTACGCAAAATTTCCGAGAAGCAGCCGCTTTTTATGCAATACTTCACGCAAACCATGGCCATTGGCAGAACACTCAAGGAAATCGAGGAAGGCATGTATGGAGACATGGGCAGATTCTTCCAAGCGCACAACGGCTGGGTAATGGGCTACAGTGACCCGTTACGCGACTTTGCTGAGGAACAACCTGGTCGCGGAAATGTGTACCTGAAGCGCGAGCTGATTGCATGGGGCGACAGCGTCAAATTGCGCTACGGCAAGAAACCGGAAGACAGTCCCTACTTATGGAAGCACATGACCGAGTACGTGGTGACCACGGCCAGAATTTTCGATGGTGTGCGTTTGGACAACTGTCACTCAACACCGCTTCATGTTGCCGAATATCTGCTGGACGCCGCAAGAGCTATTAACCAAGACTTGTATGTGGTCGCTGAGCTATTCACAAACTCTGATGCCACCGACAATGTCTTCGTTAATCGCTTGGGTATTACTTCGTTGATACGTGAGGCCTTATCAGCCTGGGATTCCCACGAGGAGGGCCGATTGGTCTACCGCTATGGCGGCGAGCCAGTTGGTGCTTTCTATGTCAATCCCAAGCGCGATCTGGCGTCCAGTGTTGCGCATGCGCTATTCATGGACCAAACGCACGATAATCCATCGCCGGTGGAAAAGCGCTCCGTTTACGATCTATTGCCCTCAGCAGCATTGGTATCAATGGCTTGTTGCGCTACTGGCAGCAATCGCGGCTATGATGAACTTGTGCCACATCACGTAAGTACTTGGGTCAAACTTATCAATAAGCGGTTAATGATATCATTCAGTAATCCTAACAACAATCAAATCCTTATAGATACACGTCGTTGATGAGGAGCGACAGTACCAGGAGTGGGGAAAGGGCGTCGACTTTAAATCGGGCATAATTTCCGCAAAGCGCGCCCTTAATCTTTTGCACGGCCAGCTTGCCGAGGAGGGCTTCAATCAGGTGTACGTCGACCAAATGGATCCAAATATTGTCGCTGTGACACGTCATTCCCCAACCACGCACGAAAGTGTCATACTCGTTGCACACACCGCCTTCGGCTATCCGCATCCCAACGCCGGACCCACCGGGGTACGCTCGCTGCGCTTCGAAGGTACACTCAACGAAATTATACTCGAAGCGGATATTTCAATGAAAAGTGACAAGCCATATGATCGGCCGGGACCCTTCAAGAAGGATCCGAATTACATCAATGGCTTTTCACAATTCCAGCTAAATCTGCGCGAACATATACCCTTAAACAAGTCGAAAATTTTCCGTGCTACGCCTCATGTTGACGGCAACATCACACAATTGGATTTCGAAAACCTCTACCCAGGTTCGGTAGTGGCTGTCAGGTAACTTTTGACATTAGCGAACCACAGAAAAAGAAATCTATACATACATGCATTACTCCGCAGGGTATCACTGCACAACCCAACCAAACCGCATGCCGAATATTTGCAAAGATTAGTCACTTCATTGCAATACGAGAGCGGGCCGGTATATGACGAGCTGCGTGAAATTATTGGCAAGTTGGACTTGGTGGACTTGAACCGCGCTCTCTTCACCTGTGATGAGGAAGAACGTGACCATGGCTACGGCGGCGCAGCCTATGACATTCCTAACTATGGTCGCATAGTTTACTGTGGCCTACAGGGTTTCATCTCTATTCTCACGGAAATTTCACCACGCAATGATTTGGGGCATCCTTTGTGCAATAATTTGCGAGATGGCAATTGGATGTTGGGTAGGTATACGGTACACTGGATCCCAGGTTACTTTATTTGTTAACTGCTGCCTCTTTTCTGCAGATTATGTGGCTGACCGCCTGAGCCATCGTGAGGGCACCACCGCACTTTCGAAGTGGTTGAAGACCATATTTGAACCTCTGAAAAATATACCACGCTACCTCATTCCTTGCTACTTCGACGCCATAGTGAGTGGCGTATATGAAGCTCTGGTGGGACGCGCCTATCAAGTGATGCCAGAGTAAGTGAAATTCATAAATATGTAGGTACATATCTATGTATATACATATGTAACCGACATAATCGTCTCGTTGATGGCAAAAGGCTCAAAAAACAAAAATTTAAAAAAAAAATTGTTAGGTGTTTGTCCAAGTTTCTTCTAAAATATGAGGCGCGCGTCTAGGTGTTGTAACACAGATGCAGGGCCCTACGAAAAGTAAAAAATGATCTATTTTTGAATTTGGTTCGCACAAGCTCCTGTTTACATTTTTTAACTGGATCGGCCCATGGTTGCCAAGATTGTTGTTTATCTACTTTTTAAGGCGGATTCATCGTTCTAGTTCAGAACTTTTCTTCCATTTGTTGTTGTGTCTCTCTCTCTCTGGGAGGAGAAAAGTTCTGAACGGTTTGAGTTGTTAACTCAACTTCAACTTTTGTTCAGAACAAGAACGATGAATCCGCCTTTAAAGCATTGTCAACCTGATTTTTCGACTCTTCTCTTCACTGTCCTTCTCGTTAGATTCATTCGAGACGGCCACAACTTTCCACAAACACTGGCTTTGGCAACGCTACAATTCTTATCTGCCTGCAAGTCTGCTAACTTGCCGCCACCTAGCCCGGCTGTAACACCTCAACCGCCGGAGATATGCGTGACCCTCTCAGCAGGTAAATTTACACCTTCCAATTTGCATCCCTCATCATTCAATTTATGATCGTACTTTCAAACAGGTCTGCCGCACTTTTCCACCGGCTACATGCGTTGCTGGGGCCGTGACACCTTCATTGCCTTGCGTGGCATAATGTACCTGACTGGTCGTTTCCAAGAAGCGCGCTACATAATACTCGGGTTTGGCCAATGTCTCCGACATGGTCTCATCCCTAATTTGTTAGACAATGGCACGAAGCCGCGCTTTAACTGCCGCGATGCCGTCTGGTGGTGGTTGAACTCCATCAAACAATATGTCAATGAAGTCCCACACGGCCGGGATATTCTCAATGACATGGTTTCGCGCATTTTCCCCTATGATGACAGTGAACCGCATGCGCGTGGTAAATTCGATCAGAAGCTCATCGATGTGATGCAAGAAGCACTGCAGGTGCACTTCCAAGGTCTGCAATATCGCGAACGCAATGCGGGCTATGAGATTGACGCGCACATGACGGACCAAGGTTTTAACAACAACATTGGTGTGCATCCGGAGACGGGCTTCGTGTTCGGAGGCAACATTGCTAACTGCGGCACATGGATGGACAAGATGGGTTCGTCGGAGAAGGCTGGTAATCGTGGTCGGCCTGCCACGCCACGCGACGGCTCCGCTGTCGAATTAGTGGGGCTTCAGATGTCAGTGTTGCGTTTTATGCAGGCGCTTAGCGAAAAGGGTGTAATCGAGTACAAATCCGTGGACCGCAAAGGGCCCAATGGTGAGTATAGAAATAAGTGAAAACGACAACTCTACAATTCCCATATCTTTCAGGTGAGAAAACCACTTGGAGCTACAAACAATGGGCTGATCGCATTCAAAACAATTTCGAGCGATGTTTCTTTGTGCAGGAAACGGAGACGGCAATGATGGCGAACAAGAAAAATATTTACAAGGATTCGTATGGCGCCTCGCAAGCTTGGACCGACTATCAGTTGCGTTGCAACTTCCCCATAACTATGGTTGTGGCACCGGAACTTTTCAATGCACAAAACGCTTGGAAAGCGCTGGAGCAAGCACGCCAGCATCTTCTCGGTCCACTTGGTATGAAAACGCTCGATCCGGATGATTGGAATTATCGCGCAAATTACGACAACTCAAATGACGCTGATGACTGTACGGTGGCGCATGGATTCAATTATCATCAGGGCCCGGAATGGGTATGGCCCATAGGGTTCTACTTGCGCGCACGCCTGATATTTGCTAAGAAATGCGGTTATTTGGATGCAACAATCGCAGAGACTTGGTGAGTTTAAGGGGGCAAAAAGGGGAATGGAATAGAATTTTAAAAGGCCTGGGGTTTTATTTACACTTTGCTACACGTCTAACGACTTTTCGAAAGCATGGATCATAAAATATCGACCATTAATAATTACGATAAATGAACGCATAAAACGTTTTTCGCTCTACCACAGGTCAATTTTGCGGTCTCATTTCAAAGAGCTGCACACGTCCCATTGGCGCGGACTGCCCGAACTCACTAACGATAATGGCGCTTACTGTCACGACTCTTGTCGCACACAAGCGTGGAGTGTGGCCACCGTATTGGAGGTAAATGAAGAAATAATTTTCGAAAATTGTGGAATTTTTTAAATGAATTTTGCCAATTTCAGGTATTACATGAATTGCACGCAATTGGCGGAGATGTTTGAAATTAGTAGCCCGCGTTGCTGGCTTAAGACAAATAGATGCTCCAAGAGGAAGCCATTAGAACAAATAGACACATACACGGTGTTATTGAAAGATCCTAAAGATCCCCCTACTTCTTACTTGTTGGACACTTCGTGCGTTCGTTAGATTGTTAATCTATTACATTTTGTATTAAACTATTGAGATGTGTACCAAATGTTGTTGGCAATTTTAATTCATAAATACATATACCAATTTTTTTGTATTTCATAGTTTGTTAGAAAGTGTCATTGCAAGACACTCCTTTCGATCACCCAGTTGGTAGTAGATGAATAATTGCTAGATCGTGCAAGCTTAAATAAAATTACTAACTTAAAAAATGCAAACATTAATAAAACTTTGTTTAATTATAAAAGCGTTTTGTTTTATTTTTCAAAATTTAATAGTCCTCCATAAACATCACAGACCACACAAACAATCCTCGTTCGCTGTCCTCTCGCCGACACGCACGCATTCCAAATCATACCATCCAGTAGGGATGGTTAACGGAAAGGAGAGCGGTGTACTACCTCAAGAGAAATAACTGTTGCGAAACATGCGCATATCGGAGTTTTTTGGGGGGTTGATACGCAGCTTCGGCGCCTGCTCCGCTATGGGTTCCAACTCGTACTTGGAGCTGCGTGGCTTATGCTGCAACTTGTCTTGGGGATGCTCGCAGGCGCGACTCTGATACTCCTCCATCGGTTGGGGCTCATAGTAAAACTCTGTGTGTCGCCGACGCGGATAGAGTTCCATGCGTGTGGTCGGAGGACAAAATGTATTCTGAAAAAGAAAATGGCGAATGATTTTGTATGGAGTGAAGCACACGAGGTCACCACCGACTTACCGAGCACACAGAATTTACTGACAATAAAGAACCTTGCAAGCTTGGCAATGAGTCGTTACTAAAAAACTGTGTAAAATATTAGTTATTATGGTAGAAATATTTAGAAACAAATGATAACATCTGATGGAAGACTAATTACTTACTTTCGATGGAAACATTTTTGATACAAAGATAGAAATTGCGATAAAAGGAATTTTATAAAAGTTCTTAACTGAAGAGAAATTTTGCCGTTTTTCTTTTTCGAATTCCAATGATATGATATGTTTTAATTTTTTGACACTAAAGATTTTTTATTTTTATAAACGCTTGGATCAAGGCGAATTCATACAAGGTGGTGTTACGAGAGCAGCTGATTTCAAAGCAATAAGTACTGATTTTTGCAGCGTGAATGGGTTCTTTAATGGTTAACAGATTTAATTATTTATGGCTTGCGAAAAATTTTTATAAAGTTTTCAGAATACAACACATAATACTTTTGGTGCAAACCTCTTTGAAATTTTTAAAAATGCAGGCATAGTTTTTTATGGGTCGATAAAGGGCAACGCCACTGAAATTAAAATGTGTATTTTGAATAGCGAGTTTTAGGGTTACGGAAACCAAGATTAGAGTGCAAATAAGCCGTGGAAACAGTTGAAAAAATAAATAAATTTTCACAATCAAAATTTCAGCGGAAATCACAAAACGGCAGTTGCCAATATAGCAACTCATTTGGCAGCTTTCAGTAATACCATTTCAGTCACTGGCAACGCAGTTCGGTTGCAATCGAAAATAGACCCATTACTCGCATATCCTAGCAACGAATTCACGGATGTATAAATGAACACAGAACACTATACATAGATAAGTACATAAATAAATAAATATTTATTTTACTGAGTCTTATTATTACAAACGGACGTACAAACAAATACATTTTCAAAATTTAGGTGTATATATTTATATATATATATATATATATATGTATACGTACTCAGAATTAAGGTAACGACTTAGTCTACGGAAATCTAAGAGAAAAACTCTAAACTCGGTAGGAATGTTTCCGCAAGATATTGTATTTGGATGAATTATGTACATACATACATATATATGAGACGATTCATGTCAAATGCCGAAGCGCGCTGAGCGGTGCAAAAAAAAAAACAAGCTATTTTTCGACTACCTGGGAATTAGGCAGAAAATGGGAAAAATATTTAGAAAACTTTTTCTATAGATTTTTGTACGGGCTATCCGATGGTACTATGCGTTTTCTAAAATTTTCCCATTTTCTTGGTGAAAATTCTGAACGAAAATTTATTTTTTTTATTTTTGCTTAATTATGGTAATTTTTAATGTTTTTAGTTATCTCAATCGAAAAATCAGGTATTTTTACATAGAAATCATTAATAAAAATAGGGACTTTTTTTGAGAATTGAGAGGGTGTTTTTTCTTTTCAAATGCAAAAGTTATGTCACAAAGTTTGAAAAAAATTTGTTTGTCTTAAAACAGTATTGTAGATGACTATCTAAGGAAGTTTTTGCGAAAGTTTCAGATTTGAACACCAAGTAGTTACAAAGTTATAAAAATATTATTATGTCGCGCACGGTTAGCACATTAGCGCGCTCTAAAAGGCCTTATAACTAGGGAAAAATAAAAAAAATCCCCTTTTTTTATTAATGATTTATATGTAAAAAAGACTTGATCTTTCGATTGAGATAACTAAAAACAATATTAAAAATGAACATAATTGAGAAAAATTACAAATAATTTTTCGTTCACAATTTTCACCAAGAAAGTGGGAAATTTTTGAAAAACGCATAATACCATCGGATAGCCCGTACAAAAATTTATAGAAATCTTAGCTTTCGAATTATTTTCCCCGTTTGCTGTCTTATTCCGAGCTAGTCGAAAAGTAGCTAGTTTTGCACCGCTCAGCGCGCTTCGGATATTTGACGTGAATTGCCTCATATATGTATATACATATATACTATGTATGTACATATAAGTATGTATGAAACTATATACAGGGGCTCATATATGTAACTATATACAAATGTACTATATGCTCTAATACATGGTACGAAAGAGAGAATGTAGAGTATTGGAACGACTGCGTTCCTCCTGATTAATGCTTCACCTCATCGTCATCGATCACTGATCGCAGCTCCCGTCCAATATTTTTCATTTTAAAATCGATCGCATTACTTAATCCACCATGTGCCAGCAGCAGTTGCTCCTCTTTGGGCTCGGTAACACAATTGTTGCCATGCGATTTCGAATCGATTGCTTCGTAGTCGGGCGTTTTCAAATGCGACATATTTGAGCGTTTTTCCCTCAAATGAGGAGTAATCGCCGCAGCTAGGTCGGTGTCATTTTCTATTTCGCTTACAGACAAAGCTAAGGATGGAAATTCTTTTAGTCGTTCGGAATTTAATTGTAGTATGTCTCGGCGTATAGCCTCCACATTCTCCTTCTCGCTACTAGATCTTTGGGCATTACTTTCCAATGGCGGGACACTTGGTTTTATTTGTGTTGAGTTTTCAGTCTTAATATTTTTGGTTACACTGGCATTATTAGCAGTGTGTGGTGAAAAGTTCAGAGACTTGTTGGCTATTGCGCGTTCGTGTATATTTGAGTGGTTGTTTGTTTTAATATTTGTGGCATTAAATAGCACGGCCAAGGGAAGCGGCAGTCGCTGCTCCACTTTGCTGGCATTTTTTACTTGCTCGATAAGCTCGCCGGCTTTGTAGGAGAGCGGTTCAAAAACCTGCTGTTGGGGACGCTCTTCTGCTGCCTGCTCAGAAAGTAAATTGAGAAGTGAAGGTCGCTCCTCCGGCTTATTTTCAACCTTAGGGAAGTTAAGTTTTTTAGGCGGTACTGCATTTTCTTTCGGCTCTCTTTCGAACTCTTGCGGCGGCAAGTCACCAGTCTCTTCATTATACTTTACAGGTGTTTGTGCAGGCTCGTTATGTTGGACCTTTTTCTCAATTTGCTCCACTTTCTGCACTACTTCCTCCAACTTTTCAGCAACCAGATTTTGTGTTTCTTCATTTTGCTTGGCCAGTTCTTGTTTCAACTGATCGACAGTGCGTTCCAACAGTTCTTTGGTTTTTTTCAATTCCTTTCGGGTTTCTTTAAGGTCGACATCATTGTTGCTTTTTGAAGCCTTTTGTCCATTTTTGTATTCCTCCGCAGCAATCTCTTCGTCTTTTTTTATTGCCTCTTTATCTATTGCCTGCTGCTGTTGGTTCTGTTGTGAACTTTGCTTCTCTTGCGGAAGATGAGAGGGAATGTATTGTTGTTGTGGCGGTAGTTGATTAGGTAGAGATTTCAGAATATTATTCGGCGGTACATTTTGTTTCTCGAGTTCTCTTACGTTTTCGGAGACTTTAGGAGCCTCGTCTTCATCTTTTAACTCAGACTTAGGGGAAACTATACTGAAGCCTTTGCCTGCTTTCTCGGCGATTACATTATCTTTTGGGGTTTCTTCCTTCTTTTGAGTATCGTCAGCAGATATCGGCGATATCGGCTGTATAGGTGTTACATTTCTCAATAAATCCGACTTCTTTTCGATATCCAGTTGTGCATTCAACTCCAATTCGTTTTTCTTTAACTTCAAATCCCGAAAGTGATTTTCTTCTTCTATCTTGTCTATTTGTGGTACGAAGAGTGCTGCAGTCTCTTGTTCCATTGTGTATACTTTTTCCGTTGGCTTCATCAAATTCGCATCCTTCAAATCTTTAGCTAAATGTGCGCCAGAGCGTCTTTCATCGATGGCATGCAAATTTGCATAGGTGCCCAAGACCATTAAGCAAAAGCCACTAACAAATATAAACTGCGCCAAAGAACGCTCGGTAGAGTCTTTTTTAACAATCTTTCGAAAACAGAATGCTGGGAACATTATACAAATGGCAACGCCGATTGTAGAGCCCACTAAACCGATAATCAGCTCAACCGACGGTATCATTAGAGCAATACAGAGCGCACAACTTACAAGACAGATTGTGATTACCTTGAAACGCGTCTCTGGAATATAGGCAGTATTGTCAGTATGACCCTAAAAGGCATAAAAAATTAAAATAGGCTAAAACAAAAATTTCAATTCAAATACCTTTCTGTACAGCAGTGAATAAATACTTGCTCGGCAGGGGAATATGACAAGTGGAAAGCTGAAAGCAACCGATAACACAAATCCAATTTTGATGACATCGCTGCCAAATGAAGGTGAAAAATTTAACAAAATGTTACCTGAAAATGTTTGCCTTTTTTAAGCTGTTGTGGAATTTAGAAATTCTACAATACTTACCCGAAAAAGTTTGCGTGCAGAAGGCCACATAGCCGAAATAGCCAACGGCGATGTAAACAAATGTGCATATCCATGTAGCGTTGCGCACAATTCCATTCAATTTCTCAACGCTCTGATTATTGATGCTTTCGAACACTTCGAAAAGTTGCCTGGCAAGGGCAAATTTTGGTTTATATTCTTTGCGTTTGGAGTTACATACATATCTAATATTAATCCTAGGTGAAAGCTTAGACCTAATGAGACTTGCGAAATTAATGGTTTACGGTGAATTTCAAAAGCAGTGATTGAAAACATTTTTGAGCCAATTTTAAATTCATACAAAGTCTATTAATCTATTTCACTAATAATTACGTTTTCAACAGGGCACTTGGTTTTTGATAAAATGTTAATACTGTTTAATGCATTATATAAAAGTATATATTATTGATGCTAGTATACATACATAACCAGCATATTGTGTGAAAAATATAAAATTTTGTAATGATTCAACAATTTTACTTACATTTGGCATGATAGCGCCATACTAAAAATGGGCAAACACTGTAAGATTCCGGCCGGACGCCAATACTCCACTTTCTCGACCCAATCATGTGCCACAATATGTTCCTCGGATTCCAGCACTATCTTCACCACCAGGCACACATAAAAGCCTATCGAAGCAGCACACACTGTTGACAGGCTATCAACATTTTTGAGCATTGCCAGTGGTAGTATACAAAATAGTGTTACGGCGATCATAACCCATGTGCGTAGGTGTGGAAAGTCGGCGGCATTGAGTGAAAATATTTTTGAAGTAATTTGCGGACCTAAATCGCCCATCACAACGAAATAGGTTATGGATGTGCCAAAAAGATAGCCGATAATACATAACTCAGCAAGGAGTTTGCCTGAAGCGCCAAATGCATGAAAACCTATAAAATGCGATAAAATGAACGAAGATCTAAAGTTAAAAATTGTTTGATATTTTGTTTAAGAACTAATCCATCACTTCCTAAATAAATTGGTCAATTTATTACTTTACCCAAAAATTCTAAACTTTTGCGACGCGTCAGCAGCGAAGACTTTATTAGATAATGGCAGGATATGCGAGTTATCCAATTGCTGATAATGAGCAATAAAACGGAGAGTACAATGCCGCACTGAAATGACAATAATTATAGTAGAGAGTTTATATTCAACCATTTTATTGAGCTTGAGGCTGTATGTAAACAGTTTATATTAATTCGGTTGCTTTTCGTAGTAAGAGGCCTTCATTTTATGAAAGACAAATACTAGTTCAAGGAGGGCTTTCTTGATAATTGCAACAAACAATTCTTTAATATTTGTTGGAGTTTCTACAAAACAAAAAAAAAATTCCATAGATTACAAAAATATTTTTGCTTATTTCAATTCTCGTAATAAAACCTGCAATGTGATAAAACCTAACTTATAGTGTGTAAATATGTACATATCGCTCATTTAGTAAGACTGTCACAACTCATAGTTCATCATCATCACTTTACATATTTCAAATGGCACCCATGCCGAAAATAGTGATGCATATTCGCTTCTAACGCTGAATATACGCAATATTTTAACATGAATTTTTAAACACAATATGAAGAATTATGCAACTAGTAACTCTGCGTCCTGAACTCAAAAATCCTTATTTTGAGTTCTAGCAATTTTTAAATAAGTAACAAACAGTTCAAATGAACGTAGTAATACACTTTAAAATAAAATACGTGAAATATGCACGAGCAAATAAAGTTTTTTTCAATTTCTGATTATAAATATTACCTTGAATATTAGTTTTAAGATTTACCGAGCTTTTGAGCTATATATTTGAGAATATTTTAAACTATTGAAACAATAAGCAATCTGTAATGTAAGAGGTAAACAGATTGCGCAAATGCATTGGCTATCTGTATGCCTATTAAGTTCTAATCATAGGAGAAATTTATCCCGATGTTTACAAGTTTGTTTTAGACCATATCACTCTTTATAGGATATGTACATATAAATATGCAAATACTAGTTTTTAAATGCAAAACATATGTATGTACATGTTTACAAGCGCATACGTTTCTTCACCTTCAAATTGAAGGAATGTCGTCTTCGTCAATGATTCATAAAAAAAGATTTCTCAACTCACCTTTTGAAAACAAAACGGCATTGCTAGTATTCCCACGCCAATAATGCTATTGGCTAGCGTCATAACGTGCCCGGAATATGCCAGCATGTTGGCACTCGGTCTTAACACAGCGGCTAGGCCGAAATTCTTATTTCTAGAATTATTTATATGTATATTAAAGCCGAGTAATTGTTGCCAAGGGAAATGCCAGTTAATAGCTCAAGCAAGGGCTTGTTGCAGCACCCGCAAAAATCTGCAAAAGTTAAATGCAGCTGTGAAATTTATTGTTTGCGTTGTTGCGGTCGTATTTTTCTCCAAGCCGTTAAACTTTCTCCAATTTCTCAATTGTTGGCAAAGCAAAATGCTTATCGAATGCCTGCATAAATAAACAAAAATGTAATTTTAAACGGGCTACTAAAATGGAAATTGGCTTGCCTCAATAACTGGAAATGCGACAAGATATGGTATGTAATAGATGTGTCTAAAACGTAAAGGAAACATTCACTCCAGTTTCTGCGATAAAAACCAATTTGTTAACGTTGTGGCAAAATGTTTCGTACTATCTGTGGTTCGCCATCCGTACTTATGTATAAATGTATTTGTTTATTGTACATTGGCAATAAATTGTTGAACAAAACATCAAAGTAAAAACAAAAATCGATCCAATTGAAAAAACATCGATTGTTTGCAATCGATACATCCAATAAAATTTATCGTTTAAGTCTACGTTAATAACATTAGGGTCCTTCACACCTAGCCTGGTACTCGCCATGATCCAACTACACAAGACCCGACAAGATGAAAAAAAAGAAAAAAGTAATTTTCTGGCTGACGTTTGTAATTTCGGCGTCAGGTTATTTTCTGTGAAAAGTAAACAAAGAATATGAAGACGAAGAAGGTCTGAAATTTTAAGAAAAACCATTTGCTTTAGTTTTATGCATACAGCCCAATGACGGTATATTAAAGAACACAAATAGCCGCGGTATTGGAAGTGCGGTAAAAGGCTGTACAAAAATATTCAGCAGCGTGCACAGTTGATTACGCGGTTCAAGCACATGTATCGTAACAGTAGCCACCCACGACGAACATGTGCGCAAGCCTGCTCGCCTTGCGGTGTATGATTGCGGGGCGCTTTAATTTTCAGTGAGCGTATTCGCCGTTTGTGGCATGGTTTGCGAACATTGCATTCGAAACAAAAACAACAACCTCATTTTGTGTTGATGCTTGCAGTATGCACATCGGCGGATAAATGCATCCAAGCCATGTGCGTTAATTGAATTTTTGATAAATGAGGCTAAATTACTATGGGCCATTTTCCCAGTCATTAGTTGACTATTAGAAAACCAGCTGTTTTTAACTATTGTTTAACTAATGGATGTGCATTAGTTAACCGCAGTCAACCATTAGTCAAACTGATACACTGAAATGAAAAATGGTGGTTTAACATTAGCATAGTAGTAGTAGTAGTAGTAGTAGTAAAAACGTTATCTGATTCAGCTATTGCTGAAAGCCTTAAAGGCGCCGAACGCCTGAAAACCTTATTGTGGAGGTGTGCTTTTAATGTGTAGTGTATTTGGCGTATATCATTTTGTGTTTGAAAACTTCGATGTCATATTTTGTTGCATTTTATCGAAAAAACATCGATATACTTTATTTTCACACGTTTCTAATTCCTTGCAGCACATAGCGTTACCAGACAGTTGAAGGTGTTTATTTGCATTCATTTGAGGATTTGGCATCTCTCACAAAATTGAACAAAAGGTTGGCTGCGCTGAAAAAGCGCCAATAAAAATTTGGTTTTTTCATTTGAACAGGAACGACAATTAGCACAGAATTAACAAATTATAATTATTGACGCACATATGTAAGTTAGAAAATAATAATGTCAGCCGATTATGAACCAGCATTTAGGGGCTCACGTGAAACGGCTGTTAGCGCTATGCATAAAGTCCAACAGCAGCTGCTGGGGCTTGCAGATAAAGGCAATAAGGACTCCAACAGGCGTCAAATGCAACTAGCTTTATCTGTATTGCGTTCTATTTGCTCTGTTGCCACGAAGCCGGGGGGCAACCATTATGATGTCTATTGTGATACACTGGTGAACGTCCTGGCGAAGAATATACAACCATCAGTCGGCGCGAAGTACTGGACAATGTATCTGGAGCATGTACGGTATTTGCATCACATTCTTGCAGATAAGGTGAGAGAAAGATTAGGTATTTTGTTTTCATAATAATTAACTTTAGTTTTCAATATTAGAAATTGTTTAACGAAGCCGAAAGGCTATGTGGTTTCGTAGCAAGTCTCCCTTATTATCTCCAAAGTGACGGGGACTATAAGGTGTTGTTAGGAATGTTTCTGCAGCACTTACTTAGCCAACATAATCACATGAGCGTAAACGCCAGTCAGGCACAAGAGCACATTGTGAGGATATTAGATGCACTAAAGGAGTTGTTCATACGAATGCAAAATTGCAACAAGGAATATAATTTTACATATCCAGAGTTAATATCAGATTTTGTGCAATATTTGGTACCGAAGCGTGTTTCCACAGTTTTTAATTATCTCGCAACGCTACCGTCCAGTAAAACACAGATGTACGATTCCTTCTTCTCACTTCTGAAAGAACTTCGTGCCCCGCAACCAACAAAAGAAGAGCTCCAAGCTCATTGTCAACGCCATATAGAAGCGCTCACAGCCTTCTTCCAATTGGATGTATCCGATAGGTTACAACAGCAATTAGCGTTACGACACATGCGTACATGTCGGGATATGTCTCTATTTGCAAATGACAAAAGCTCCAACTATGTGTTTTCATTGCTATATTATCTGGTAAAATTAGTGTATGGCTTGCCCAACCCTGGAGAATTCAAAGACGTCTATAAAGATTTAAGCGGAAAACTAACAACATTCTTCGATCGTTACGGGGAGATGTTAATGCAAGAACGATGGTTTACAGATGTACCCGTCGTGATAGCTGTACTCTTGTCTCACCTACAACATCACCCCACCACACCTTTCGCTTTCTTCTGGCAACACATGAATAACATTGAATGTTATATATCGCATTATGAATTAATACTCGGCTGTTTACGGTTGGCACCCCGGATTGCCGAAACTAAGCTACTAAGAATTGATTGCTGCACAAGCGCTAGGAAACATACAATAATTTCCTTGGTGGTCAGTGGGCTAGCAGCGTACTCATCTTACGCCTTAGCAGTCGATGACTCAACAACCGAAAGCGAAAAACTCTTTATTAGCCTTCGTACACAGCTACTTCTCTTGATACGTCACGGAGTCAGTGTGCTCGACTCTCTCGTTTGTATAACTCCTGAATCGGCAGAATTAAAATTGATCTTCTGCCGCTTTGTACAACTTACAATGGATATGCGCACCCCGGCTCAAATACGATTGTGCTTAACACTGGCTGAATTTCTGCTCCGCATAAGACATAAGTTCCCAATCAAGGATTGGACATTGATGCTAAGACGCCTGTATAAAATGTCTATTAAAGCGAACGATGCCGGCTTGATCGCAGATTTGCATGCGGCACATATTTCCTCAATGCTTCAAGAGGGTCCGTGGCCCGACCTTTCGCTACTGCGAACACGCATTGGCCACTTCCACACTGCCTCGCCACATATCACAGCTGGCCAATGTATTTTGCAGCTATCTTTGCAAAGTCATAGCCCCTTCAAGGTTTTTCTGGACTCTCCACAAAAGCATTTATTGCATTGGTTGGAGACGCAACAGTTTCTCAAGTATCACAAGTCCAACGAACAGCTTCAAATAACTCTAATGCAGTGCAGCCCAACACAGTACAATGAGGTGTTGGTTGCACGTGGTGTTGGTACTTTGCAAGCAGCAGCAGCTGCCCGATTGAGCCAAATCAAAAGTGAGTTAGAAAATAAAATGCATAAAACTGCTGGGCTGACCCGTCTGGAACAGCTCTGTTGGGCGCATGTAAACACAGCACTACTCCACGATACGTTGAAGCTGCAGAAAGAATCGCGGTCTGTTGAAACAAAGTTTCAGGAAGATAATCTCGAAGAATTGTTGCAACGTAAGGAATTGGCAACGGTGACAGTAGTGAATGAGGTAAAACTGGTCAAGCAAGCTCAGACAGCTGTGAAGGGATTTGAAAAATTCTATGAGGAGGTAAGTATTTTTCCTCTCTAGCTCTTGCCCAGTAACGACCATGTAACTCATGTGTGTTTTTAGGCTGACACTGAACCTATCATTACCAATGAGGTGTACATCGACTGGGAGGCCATTGTTGAAGACGTAACCAACTTAGCGCTTTATTTCCAACTGTCCGGCTACTCGGACTTGGCAACGGACGCTTGGGTTCTACATTACCGTATAACCAACATGATTGATGATACATACAATTCACTTCGAAGTCTTTCGTACTTCTGTGAACACAGTCAATACTTCATCACCTTAGAAAGGGGCATCGATTTAAACGAAGAAGTGGGGCAAAAACAGAATTTCCTATATGTGGCCATGCAACAGCTGCCAACGCTTCCTAAACGTTTTCAAAACTATGTGCTCATGAGCCTCTGCCAGTTGGCCCACTATTATGCCAGCAAGGGCCATCTCAGTTATTCGGAAATATTGCTTGAGTGGGTGCAAAAAGAGCATGGTGAGCTTCCCAACCAGCAGGGCAAATATAATGTGGTACTTGGCACAGTCGACGTGGTCAAATTTCGTATTTTGTGGAAACATCTAGGCAGTAGCCAATGTCAGAAAGACGTACAACTCTCACAACGTAGCATGCTGCGTGAAATGGAAGGCACATTGGAACGATTTCGTGGCGATTTTTTCAAACTCTCCACCAGTGAACTAATGTCTTATACAATTTTGTTGTTGAGCCTTATTGAGCAAGTGGCGGAGTGCGCAGCCAATCGGCTGTGTGATCACTTTGTCAATTCATATTTCGCAGGCACTTTCAAGCTATTATTGCAATCGGGCTCAGCATTACGCATAATACAAATGTTAGCGATGTGGGCGTGGAATAATTTGCAGATGGAGCATGTGAAAAAGGCGCAGGTTAGCATAACAAATACGTAAATTACATCGATTACTTAATATTCCAAAATCTCTTCTAAAGACCAAAGTGAAACTGATAGAATACATATTGGGAGTGAAAAGCCTAGAATATCTGCGACAAATGAGTGAAGAAGCTGCTGTTGAAAAAAAGTTGTCTGCACCGGTTACGTACACAGCATTGGAGTTGTTGCAATCGGGTATGGAGCCGTTGCGTAAAATGATACCGCCACATTGTACACCCAATATAAAGGTATTTTTGATTTAAAAACCAAGTATATATTATTTTGGATTTTTTTGTATGAGGCCATGAGAACCAGCGTAGCGTTTTTAAAAATATACAGGCAAGACGAGAACAATATTCTTCGGGGAGATCAAGGTAAAATAAGGGCGATACACAACCGTTACCAATCTGGGTGACGATACGCAGCTCTGCATACGACTATAGGCTATCTCAGTTCCTTGGAACATCACCTCCATGACGAACACACAGATGGTCGGCAACGTACGAAGGGACCCATAGTTTTCCTTTCTAATTATTCATTTTAGACCACATATCTAATTAATTCAATATGTTTGGCTACTCTGGTTCTCATAAAATCATATATCTTGAAATGCTATATTTTCGATTGAACAATTTTAGGTTAAGATGGAACTTAGTCCGTCAACGCGAGGCGAAAATAGTCTCAACCGCTTTCTTCGTATACAATGCAACGATACGCTTCGAGAGTATGAAATTCTTCAGTGGTGTTGCTTCACGGTTGGCTGCTTGAATGCCAGACTCTACTTCCTTGCCGATAATCATGATAATCTGCAGGACTTCTATGAAACTAGTCAGCAATGGCTGGACAAGCACAAGCAAAATACACATTTACGCATAAGTTTTCAGAATATACAACTTCTATGCTTGCAGCATTACGTCAACTTCCTACGTTCACATAAGAAATATGAAAAGGCGTTGGCCTATCTCAAAGCGGCACTGGCTAACTGCACTGACATGAAGGGAAATGTAGACACTGTGTATGAAATACATTTTTTGCTACAATTGCGCGCCACAAAAATAGAGATGTCATTAAAGAAAGAGAATATAAATCGAGCTGGCTTGCGGCGTGCGCTCACGTTCAACGTATCGCCAGATTTAGATAAGCCGGAATGCGAAAATTTGGTAGCAGTATCTATGGCACCAGCCAGCGCACGAAAAAAATTAACAGCACCCACCTTCAAAATATACGGCAGCAATGGTAACACGCCTGAGCTTACACCGAAACGCATTGTCACGGTCGCGTCAGCGGTTTGTAAAACGAAAGAAAAACTGGTGCCTTCGCACTCGGTATCGAGTGTGAGGAAAACGAGAAAACGTTTGGTAGCTGAAAATGAACAAAAAACTCCAATGAAAGCAATCGTAAGCTCCACAAATTCAAAATCGAATATAAAGTCTTTGACAGCAAGGAAATTACGTGAATTCCGGGCAGCAGCTAGCGACTCGCAAAGTAGTTCGTCCTATTCCACGCCCGAAACTGATACGGACAATATTTTGAATCAATGCCAACGTATAGAATCAATCGATTTGTCGGACATCGATAACGCCAATAAGACTCGAAAAGACCTTCCAAATTCTATTACTAAATCCAATGCCAAACAACAAAGCGCACTCAAAGCCAGAAAGCTTCGTGAGGATATATTGAATATTTGTCAGAAAATTGAATCAATTGATTTGCTGGAAGACGATGAGCGCACAATAATAGCAAATCAGAGTGGCACGCCGCCCACCATGCCCGAGGAGATCAAACCGAATAAATCATTAGTTATCGATATTTCTGATGACATTGATGACACTCCACCAAAAACGAAAACTTCAACCACAAAAAATACCGCTAAAAAAGTACCGCGCACCGAGCAAGCAAAACGCAAAAGTAAGGAAACAAAAGCAAACAATGCGTCGGCAGAAATGAGCACATGCGCCACGGGCGAGACAACCTCAGTAATGTCAAGTGAACCACGCGTGCGGGTTGTGGAAAAGATCAAAATAACAGAGGACATAAAAGCCATAACTACAAAGACAAAGACGCGTGCGAAGACCGAAGTACGCACCCTGAAAGTGATAACCAAAGACACCGAAATTAAGGTATTATCGCCCAGCACGAAATCGACTACGAAGGGCAAAGAGAATGCAGTCACAAAAAACGGCAGCAGCAGCAGCACAACTCGTGGGCGACCGCGGACGGCGGCCCGCAAAGCTTCCAACAAAGACAATGACGCAAATGTTGCACCACCCGTGACAGTCAGCAGAACGCTAAGCAAACGTGCCAGGCAATAATTTTGCATACAATATTTTATTTATTATGTTATACGTATGTAGTTAAAAGCCTCTGCTGCTCTTTCTATATTTTACTTATATGCATATGTTCGTATTTTCAAACTATTCATTTACATATGTATGTTTTTTCATTGTATTCTAACTTCACTTGCTTTTATTTTATTTTCTATTCTCATACATTTTAACAATGAAACAATAATGGTGTACACCTTGTATTCCGCACATTCATAAAGCCAGTGGTGATTGATTTTATTGACTTCAAAATGATTTCAAAAATGCAATGCAGTGAAACTTTTCAGAGGGGGGAACCTATGAAAAACGCAAACTTGAAAAAGTCGAAAAATGTTCGGCCCTATGCTGAATATCGTAATCGGCATCGTCGACGATCGTGATGATATATTTGTGATCAGCGACCCTAAACACATTCGAATCCGCCTTGACTTAATAACTGACAACTGTTTTAACCAACTGAATGACAAATTTACGCATTTACGGACATGACGTCTTCTAACGGTCGCTGCATTTACGTAATAGTGAATTTTTAATTGGCGTGCTGTTTTGGACTCGGCCAAAATCGCTTAGGCGGTTACAGCGCCAAATAAGAAGAAGAAGAAGAATTTTTAATTCTGCCACGTTTTATTTGATGCATTATTAATTTATGAGTCTTTTGACATCTTCTTCTTTATTGGCGCTGTAACCGCCTAAGCGATTTTGGCCGAGTCCAAAACAGCACGCCAATCATTTCTTTTCTGTGCCAATTGGAAATGCCAAGAGAAGCCTAGTCCTTCTCCACCTGATCTTTCCGTCTCAGTGGGGGCCTCCCTCTTCCTCTGCTACCACCAGCGGGTTCCGAGTTGAATACTTTCAGAGTACTTGAATACTTTCCGAGTTGAATGCCAAAAGCCACACTGATAAGGTCCAATCAGTTCGTTGACGGTGGGCTTCAGTCTTTCGCAAAATACACTCGACCTTATAGCCTATGCTTAGAAGGCTGATTCCGCGCTAGTTGGCGCGAATGGCAGGGTCGCCTTTCTTTTGGATTGGGCAGAGCACACTTAAATTCCAGGCGCCGGGCATGCGTTCATCTGACCATATTCTGCAATAAAGCTGATGCATGTACCTCAACAGCCCCGCGCCGCCGTACTTGAATTGCTCGGCAGGCAGGCTGTCAGCTCCAGCAGCTTTTGTTGTTTTTCAGCCGCATAATCGCTATTCGTACCTCGTCATAGTCAGGCGGTCAGTCAGTCAGTCTGCTGCCATTCAATAGGGTGGAAAAGTGCTCCCTCCATAATTTAAGTAAGTTCTGAACATCAGTCTCCAGGTCGCCATGGTTGTTCTTACAGGAGTTTGCCCCTGGTCTTGAAACCTTCCGTAAGTCGCCTAACTCTCTGATACCATTTTCGGGCGTTTTTCCTGGCGGCCAGCATCTCAAGCTCTTCGCACTCACATATTTCGGCCACTCTCTTCTTATTGCGGGCAAGGCAAGGTAAGCGTGAAGCCTTGCGACGTCTACTACAGTTGCCACGTAAAGGAGCGCAAATTCGGTGTTGGATTCGTGGTAGGAGAGAGACTCCGTCGCCAAGTACTGGCGTTCACCCCGGTGGACGAACGTTTAGCCACAATCCGCATCAAAGCGAGATTCTTCAACATCTCGCTTATCTGCGCCCATGCCACGACGGAAGATGAGGACGATCCGTCCAAGGGTCTCTTCTATGAGCGCTTGGTGCGACATATGAGCGCTGCCTCCGACACGATGTCAAAATCGTGCTCGGCGATTTTAATGCCAAGGTGGGCAAGGAAGGGATCTTTGGCGCCACTGTCGGAAAATTCAGCCTCCCCGACGAAACGTCCTATAACGGACTGAGGCTGATCGACTAAGCCGGGTCCCAAAACATGGTAATATGTAGTACTAGGTTCCAACATAAGAACATCCACCAAGCTACATGGCTGCCTCCAGATCGAAAAACGAGAAATCAGATCGACCATGTTGTGATAGACGGAAGGCATGCTTCCAGCGCTTTAGACGTACGTAGCCAAGAAAGGCACCTGGCTCTGTGCAGCAAAAAATGTGCGCCCAACAATGCAAGTCAAGTTTAACGTTGAAAAGATACAATTACAACAGACGGCCAATTTATTCGCCACTCGACTCACACACCTGCTCTCTGAGAGCATTCTTCAACAATCCGACATACACGAGCAGTGGAACCACATTTCGCGATCATTCAGTACCGCCGCGGAAGAAGTACTTAGTTGGATTTCAGCGAGCCCGAAAGAACAATTGGTACGATGAGGAATGTCAAGAAGCCGCAGAGAATAAAGACGCCGCCAATAGGGCCACGCCACTAAAGAAGGAAGCGACATCGACATGGAGATCGTGCATATTATGGAGAACACAATTTTTTGAATCGCTATACCTCAAATGATAATTATTAGGAAGAAAAATATTATAATATATATTTTCGTCTCAGCTATTTTTATGATAAACCTTACCGTTTTGCTGAAAAATGCAAAAATGCAAAAATGCAAAAATTCAAAAATTCAATTTATGTGACCTTCGACCTTGAATAAATTTTTTTGCAGACGTCAGATCGATGGGGACTTTTGACACCTTATTTCTAATGGTGTACCGAAGCTCTTCACCAAAATTTAGCTCTGTCGGAATTTTTGTTATTTGAAATGTCTACTTCGACCGGACTATTATCGAGCCCTAACCGCCAAAAAGATTTAGGCGACTTTTTTTTCAAAATTTTCTTTTTGATGCAGAAATGTTCCGAGAGCATCTAGCAGAATTGCTGCATCAAAAATAGAATTAAAAAAAATATCGCTTCATCTTTTTGGCTGTTAGGGCTCGATAAACTCGATACCGATCGCAATTAAGTTAATATATGGCTGATTAATGTGTGAGTAAAAGGACATCAAGTTCGCATCTTAAGTCTTTCGTTTCATTAACAACGCTAAGATTCTCGCATCTACCGGTGGTACTTTGCAGTGATTAATTGCGTGCATGCATAAATGCTATGAATAACGAAATGATCCTCGTTAAGTATTTTGTTATTATCTCTGACCAATTTTATAACGGCAAAAATATTTATCACGGCAGAAAACCACACCCGTTTGCACTTTTGATGACACACACGCGCTTCATTGCATTTCGCCATGGGAGTGGCATTCTATGTAACAGCAAAGTATCTTCATGCAATATTAATGTATAGATACATACATACAAACAATATTTGTATGGGCAAAAGCTGCATTTGTTGGTTGTGAATCCGCAATTACAAGCGAATAGGAATAAAAACTCTTTGTGAAGTATTTACCAGAAAGCGCTGTTAAAAAGCATTGGAGACGATTCGGAAATATTCTGGAATATCCGCCATTCGAATCTAAAATATGTATGTATTTAATTTAAAAAAATATAGCAACAAGAAAGTCGTCAGGCCTGTAACCTCCACTGGCATTCCTGTTTCTTTTAGCAACTTTTCACTAATTCTCAAATATATATATGCAAAATAAGCGCAAGCAAATCGGTAAGTAAAACGCGATTCAGTTTACAAATCTATACATATGTATAAGTACATACTTATTTGAACATTAGGGTGTCCATCGAAAATATTTTTTTTTTTTTTTTGTAAATTTCAAGAGCCTTATTTTATTCGATTTTATGAGAAATATTATTGCCTATTTTTATAGATTTTTTAAAGATCGCGACCTCCACCTGTCGATTAGGTCAGAAAATACGATTTTGCAGATTTATGAGTTTTTGAATGACTATTTTTGATTCGGTTTCAAATATTGAATATGTTCTGAGGAGAGGATATATAGGCCTTTAAAATGGTATATAATCATCTATTGTCGGACTTGGATTGTTGGTATTTTTTATCGGGTAAAATAAAAAAAAAAAACATATTTCTCCTAATTTATTTATAATTTGTAGCGGACTTTCAGATTTTTTGAGCAGTGTGGCTAAGGAATTTTTCAAAATTAATTCAAGATTTCTATATACAATCGCTCTTTAGCAAAGAAGTGGGTTTTCAGCAAATTTTAGAAAAATGGGGGTGGCACCGCCCATTTTTATCATAAACTAGTTGACCAATCTCAACCAAATTTATGCTTAGCCTTCTTAAGTACCGTCTTGAATATTTTTGAAATCGGACAAAAACCACGGCAGGTCGCCACCTCTAAATGACCTTTAAATAAAATTATAATTCTCATAAACACGAATAAAATTAGGGGGTAGGGTCTTGAAATTTCCAAAAAAAAAAAACATTTCCAATGGGCACCCTAATGAACATGCATACATATGTACATACATACATATGTACATACATATATGCACGTATTAAGTAAACAATATTGAAACCGAAGTGAGACAAATCTTTAAAAACTAATTGGAAAGCTGCAAAAAACGCGAGAGTCCCTCAGCGGCAATTTGCAATTAAGACGACGGCAACTACTCCAACAACAGCGTTATGCTATATTGCTTTCTAGAATTTTGTTCAGAACCTGTTTCGAAATTGTGACACAAATTTCTTCTTAAATAATAATTAATATTTGGGCCGCAATTTTAGCACTTTTTACCTTCTACGTTCGTCCAGATGCTAATTATTTATTTTTACTGCAATTTTAAAGCGAACAGAAAAAATTAACAATCGTTTGACACCGAGTGGTTAGAGGTGCGTACTACACTCAATAGGACCTATATAGGTTCGATACTCGCTCTTCGTCCGACAATGGCACGACTCGGAGTGTATTTTTGCTATGAAAAAGCCTCCGCCACGCCCTCTCTTCTGTCGCATTTTCGTTACATCGATGCTTACATTTAGTTATTTTTACATGGTGCCAAAAAAAAACTTACTCTGGATGGGCGGGATCGGTATTGAATATTTAGTCCCACGCCCATCTCTAGTACATACATACATATGTACATATGTATGTATGTGGATATGGGTCATTTTCAAAGTGTTCATGGCAGGTATTTTTTATATATTTTTTTTTAAGATTGATAAATTTATTCTCTGAAATCGTTTACTGACATGGATACTAAACTGCTTTCAAGCTCTTAAAAAATTATAACTTTTTATTATTTTTGCATTTTTGTAAAATATTTTGCTGAATGTCACTTTTTGTACAAGTAAGCTAAAGTAATAAATAAGTTTAGAAACTATTAGCAAAAAGTATACTTACCGATAAGCATTGTACTGATTTTTAACATTAAATGCATGCTTTTTAAATATTTGCATATCACTTTGAAACTCACTTATCAGATAAGCTAATTTTGAAGTTGTTTCCGCCTTCTTCATGACGTTAATGAGGGGTTTTTCTTGGGAGGCAGGCTTTTTCCCATATATGCTGTTTGCACACATTTGGGGAAATAAGCTATTCAAAAAAAAATCCCTTTTCACCTAAAAGTGACAATGTGGAAATACTTTACGTTTTTTCGTGTTTTTTTTTCCAAGGAGTCTTACCCCCTCATTATGATTTTGCATACGATAGACGATAAACGCTTGTAAGCATATCGTATGAAATCAGTTCGCCCACAATCTGGCATCTCTGCCTACAAAGCCCTTCCAGAAGCCCTTCTATGGGTAGCGAAAACAGAATCCATTCAATTTATGCCCTCCATACAATAAAGAAAGTAGAAAGGAATGCAAAATGGAAGACCTCTTGACTGTCAGAAAGGCATATTGGCTACTTCTTAAGTGAATACTGAACACTTAGCTGGAGTAGAAACCTGATTTAATTGATTCAATAACATTTTCATCTTGATAAATTAAATACATACTTATTTATTATTATGTATTCGATTAAATATTGGGTCTTTCGTTTTTTGTATTATTTATTTGTTTTAAAAATAAATTTGGCCCACATTTTTGTAAATAAATTTTTTTTTTTTTTAACAAAAAACGTATCAAATTAATTTACTCTTATTTATTTTTTATTTCAATTTTCTGGGGGCAACGTAGCATTAGGGAATTTTTCGCCTGCATTCAACTTTGAGGAGTTGACGTTTTTTGTTGCACTTTTTTCATAACTCGCTTTTTGTTTAAATATTCCTTTTTATTGATGTCAAATTTTAATTGTATTCGACTGTGGTTTTTTTAATTGTGTAAATTTTTTTCCCCGGTATACATATGTATGTATGTATGTATGTATGTATACATATATATTTACTAATTGCACTCCGTTTAATTTATACGCCTGCTAAACCTCTTTTATTAGCTGCTTATTTTAAATATTAATGATTTTTCGTCATTCTTTTTATTTTATTTTTGTTAATTTTTAATTGAAATGCGTTAATTCCTAATTTTTGTAATTTTTTGCAATTACTTTTAAATCTTAACATATGTATGTATGTATGTATGTGTTTTATATGCCATCTTCGCATCGATCATCGCCGTCACTGCAGTCACCTAGAATGTCAGAAATACTCGTTTGTATTGAAATGCAACAAAAATTGCAACGCTAATCACCTTAAAACAGTAAAACACACAGCTACATAGATATTCGTGCATACATACATACATATGGGTTATTCCATACAATATTTACACCTCAATATTTTTTTTTGTTTGGCGTGAAACCCCTTTTTTTGACATTCTTTATCGAAAAAAAGAAGACACCAATTTTTTGATTTCGTCATGATGTTCGAAAATTTCGGAAAAAAAACTCCGAAATTTTTAACTCACAAATAGTTATATTTTTTAAATGCTTTGCAGTTAATAAACTATTTGTGGGAGAAAATCAGTTAAGCAATCAAAATGTGCGTAATTACCTCGGTTTTCCGTTGGAGTATGAGAAAAATTAAATAAATAATTTTTTGCATTGAAAAATTGCAATATTTTATATCTTTTTAATACTTTTTTTATTAATTAATTATTTAATTAATAATATAATTGCATTAAATTATAACAGTTTCCAAGTCAGCCATTTTCTCCGACAAATAGTTTATTAACTGCAAAAAATTGAAAATATATACTTCCTTGTCAAATCAAAATTTCGAAAAAAATTTGTCCTGATTTTCGAATATCATGACGAAATAACAAAATAGGTGTATTCTTTTTTTCGATAAAGAATGTAAAAAAAAAAAACATTTTACACCAAAAAAATTATTGAGGTGTAAATATTGTTTGGAATGACCCATATGTACTTATGTGACTACAGAAACGACTAAGGTCTCGGTGAAGTTGAACGACTTTCGTGTCTTGCGCCCCACCTTGCAGCCCGCGTTCTCCGGCTATGCTGTGCTGTACTGCGCTCTGCCACACATCGCCACCGCAGCGGGAACAACGGCACATGCCTCAACCATTTCGGCAAGCGCGATGTTCGTAGATGACGGAGTAGGTAGGCTCCATGGTAGTCGCCGCCGCGGCACCACTTGCTTCTTTCACCATTCGCTGTGTGTTGTAGTTGTTGCTGTTGTTTTATATAGTTAGTTAGTTAGTTATGCGCTTCAGCAGCCACTATCGCCACATTTCAAAGCCACCGCGTTTGGTGCTCTCTCTCCCGAAATAGCGAATGATGAGCGCCGAATGGGGTTGAGGAGTCACTATTTATATCTATTGGGAACTAGTAGTGACAGTGTTGATGTTCTCCGCATACCAATATGCACACATTCATACCTACTTACATACGTGCGTTTTCACTGTGCAGTAGTGGTTTGTGTTTGCTCCATTGGGCTGGGGCGAGTTTAGGCGCCGTGCGACGGTGTTCTCTTGCCAGCTCTTCCACAAGTTTCGCTGCCAGCTACATATTGTTGAAAACCGAATAGCAGTTAAAGTATAAATGCCTGAGCTGGCGCGCGAGAGGCTTCATTTCAAAACGAGTCTACAGACGAGTCGAACCTGAAAGCGGTGTATACTTGAAGCGCAGCCAGCCCCTTTGTTTGCTCCCAACTGAAGTCAAACAATTTTTTGCATTGATCGCACAGAAAGGTGGAGAAAACTGAAACACGAATGTCAAAAGAGCGAATTCGGAAAGCAGCGCTTATCAAACTCACCTTGAAGCAACTAGAAGAAATCGGGCAAAGTATATACGAAGACGCGAAAACGCGTAAACGGAAGATAGCTTAAATCTAAAATCATAAATGTTGATTTAGTTGTACCTTTTGCTAATACGAAATACAAAACAAGCGTGAATTGCGCTGTGAACCGACGGTGTGTGGGGGCTTACTTAATTCCAAAAACAAAATCGGTGGATTTACGTCACTTTCTTGTTATTTTGTATTGAATTTTTAATTTCGGCCATAACTTGTATACCTGTTGTGTGTTTTCGGCTGGCTTGTCTAGCGCAGCTAAGCAGTGCAAAGTAGCCGCAACGTAGGAGCTGAATTAAGAGCAGACAAACCAGGCCGTCATTCGCTTACTGACCAGCTGAAGAAAGTCACCGAAAGACGGAACCAGGCGAATAGGCAGTACGAGCAGGGCGAGAAGGTCACCTGCTGCTCTTTTTGCGCACTTCATTCGCTGCGTGCTGAACTCACGTCGCCGCAGTAGTCATCCGGTCGATCGCGTGCGCACACACATCAGACACACTCGCATTCATAATCGCCGGATATAACGCTTGAAGCGATTGTGCAAGTAACCCACGACGGTATCGAAATAGCTACCAGCTAACGCCATCGCAGCGTGGCCTATCGATTCGAATACGCCCGATGATGAAAAAGAAAGTCGCACCTCAGTGAAATTGTGTGCACGAGTAACAAAAAAAAAAAGAAAGGAGAAACATAGACAAGAAAGTTTGCAAATCGAACTAAAAACTACATACATACGTGAAAAGCATAAAATACCAAACTAAAATAAATTAAAGAAAAAGACCAACAAAATCTAAAAAAAAAAAAAATAAAATTACGGTAAACGGCCAACGGCAGCATTTCGTTAAACCAACTTGTCGCTTCGCGTTTTCGATGTTATACAACTTGAATATTTAAGTTTAAAAAAACATATATATATTTTTCGTGTTTTTGTTTTTCTGCCGAGTGTCGCACTATTTGGCTTTATTTATTGCCAACCAAGCCAAATAACAAAAAAAAAACAAAACACAATAACAAAATTTAAAAAAGCAACCAACCAGCATTTCGGCGAAAATAATGAGGAACTACACACACAAAAACAGCAATGGCAGCTGGGGCAGCGCCAGCAGCCGCGGAGTCGGTGTCGGTGTCGGTGTCGGTGTCGGTGCAGCGAAAGTAATTGCAACATGCCTCATCTTAAGCGTTTCCATGCAAATGTGCTGCGGCTCGGCGATACCGATTTGGGAATTTTTAACGCGCAATGAAAAGGTAAGCCAAGCACAACGCCAACAAAAACCAAAAAAAACAACAACAACGTAGATATTGTACCCTACCAACAAACACTTGGTGAACGAAAATATTTTAATTAAGCTGTTGTTGTTTTTCTGTTTTTGTTGTGCTTTATTTTGTTTTTGTTTTTGTTTTTTCAGTGTTATTCGAAGCAGGGTTATAAGGCTTAATTTTATTTAGTTATTTATTGTTTTAACAAGTTTATGTTTTTATTCATAAATTTTATCGTAAACTGGTTTTAAATGTTACGTGTTTGCGTGAATATATATGTATATTTTTTTACGAATTCGTTTGTATTGTATTAACTGCGTTGTTAACGCATATTCGCATAGAGCGATCCAAAGCTG